CTTGTTCTAAGTAGGTGCTTTAGACCACTGAGCCATCTCACCAGCCCCTAGAAGTAATTAATTTAAAGGGCTTTAATTTCATTGTCCTGGCTACTTTTCCTGGCTAGAATTCGTGGCACAGGTCAAATGAAAGTAGCAGAAGCAAACATTCTTTTCTTCTTTCTGATCTTAGACATAAAGCTATTTCACTCTGATATTATCTGGCTGTTGCAGAAATTTCCAAGTTTCCTTTCATTTCTAGATCTTTTTTACTGTGTTTTTATAATGAAGGGATATTAAGTTATGTCAAATGCTTTTCTTGCATACATAAAATAAATGTGCGATCTTAGTCCTATATTCTACTAACTGTATTATATTTATTGATTTAAATGTTACATTAGCATTGCCTTACTAGGATAAATCATTTGTCTAGTCTTTTTTACATGTTAGTGGATTCACTTTGCTAGTGTTTAGTTATCTCCAAAGTGTTTAGTCGTATTCTCCAGCTAATGGCTTCCCTTATGTAAAATTTCTTTTTTCTCTGTTGATCTTTTGTCCCTAAGCTCTCTTTTGTTGGGATGTGGATAGGCACTGTCTGCTGCTTCGCTTTAGGCAGAGAAGAATGAATTATTTAATTCCGAGCCCTCTGTGTACACACTGATACAATATCCACGGTTGTGGTGAGCACACTGACCGCCCAAGGGTCAAGTGACTAGAATAAAGACTTCATGAAAATTCCCCAAGAAATTAAAGATAGAATTACTGAATGATGGGCCGGGGAGATGGCTGAGTGGAATAAGCGCTTCCCTAGCAAGCACAAGGATCTGAGTTCAATCCCTGGTTCTGCAAAAAAAAAAAAAAAAAGAATTACTGAATGATCTCACAGCCCTGCTTCTGCACACATATCCAAAGGAGACAGAATGAGTGCAGAATGTCAGCACTCTCGTGTTCATCGCGGCAGCATTATGTAGCCAAGACAGGGAACTTGCCTCAGTGCTGTCGATACATGAATGCCTAAAGAGAATGTGGTCCAAGTGCACGTGGACACCATTCATTTCTTTAAAAAACAAACAAAATGCTGTGACATGAGTGAACAAGAAGACGTTATGCCAAGTCCAATAAGCCAGACACACAGAAAGATAAGCACTGTAGCATCTCACTTACATGTGCAATCTTAAAATGGAATCAGAGTGAGTGGTAGTTACTTGAGGCTTGGGGTTATGGAGGTAGTACTAGGGGAGAGGTAAACGGGAAAGGAGAGATGAACAATATTTCGGATCGGCAGGAGGAATAGATTCTGGCAGTCTGTTGCTCAATGTGGTGACTATATTAATACTAATTTATATTTCAGCATTACTGGATGGTCAGATTTCTGTTGCTGTGACAAACACCTGAGGTCAGTCGATTTATGAGGAGGAAAGGTTGGCTTGGGCTGATGGGTAAGAGGTTCCAGCCCATGGTTAGTCGTTCATTCTCTTGCTTGTGGTGAGGAATATATCACGGTGGAGCGCAGTGGTACAACCCAGCTGCCCAGTGCATGGTGGCCAGAAAGCGAAGAAGAGAGAGTCTTGCTGTCTCCTCAAGCACAGGCCCCAGTGGCCTGGTCCCTGCCCCCTCAGATTCTACCGTCCTTCACTGCCACCACAGGTACAGGCCTGACCTTCAGTGCGCTGACCTTTGGAGGACATTCAGGAGGCGATAAGCGTGGAGCAGGTGAATCTGCTAACTAGCTAGCCTGATTAGTTAGCCTGATTATAGGGCACACATAGAACATTACCTTGTATCCAGAACATATATGCAATTATTAGATCTTTTTTCTTTTTTTTTTTTTTTTTTTTGGTGGAACTGGGGATTGAACTCAGGCCCTTGCGCTTGCCAGGCAAGCACTTACTCTACTGAGCTGTCTCCCCAGCCCAGAAGTATTTTTTTTTAAGGTGGAATTAAGCTGGGCACATGGATGCACACTTACAGTCCCAGCTGCTTGGGAGACTGAGTCAGTAGGACTTATATATTGAAAACTTGCCTTTTTTTTTTTTTTTTTTTTTGCGGAACCGGGGATTGAACTCGGGCCCTTGCGCTTGCCAGGGAAGCCTATATTCCACTGAGCCATCTCCCCGGCCCCTAGGACTTATATATTGAGAGAGAATTTATATTAAGTAAACTCATCCTGTTTACTACTTTGAAAAACGAAATTTATAGCTTATAAACAGCATCCATTCCTTTTCCTATGGAAATCTTACTATAAAGTCTGTTTCCTGTGTTCTTTCACAAAAGAAATTACCAATCCACATTACATGTAGAGATGTTTATTTATAAACAAGCACCCCATGAAATTAATAATTTTGTAAGATCACAACATTACTAATTAACATATATGTATAGTTACACGAAATGGCTTGCAAATATTAAAATCAACTTTCCTAGCAACCAACCATTCCTACGGTAAAACATCAAATCCCTGGTTCCGACAGAAGGTGAAGGTTGTAGGAAGAGAAGTCAGATAGCTGCTCTTAGCCATTATAGAGGATTGTGACTAACTTAGTCAATCTCTCTTGGATAAGGGCTTCACAGATGATTAGTGATACTTATATGACTTCAAAAGTCATTCTAAGCTTTAAAGTGCTCACACTTATTAATTCATAGCACAGTGAATGCTAATAATGTAAGACTCCTGCTTGGAAATCCAAATTCCTTTTAAGGTGCTCTAGCTGAGTGAGAATATAACACTGGAGTTTGATAAAACTGACTGTAATTCAGTAATTTTTTGGGGGGGCAGATCAACCTTAATTGTTTGGGTGGAGTGCATGTGCGTGTGTGTGTGTGTGCGTGTGCGTGTGCACGTGTGTGTAAATAAGGATACCGCTCCTCAGCAAGCTGATTTCATAGAAATATACTGAATGTAGAAAAGCGTTGTCCATGGGCCATATACGTGAGATGTTATTCTATATTTTCTAAAGAAACTGGTAGAGTTATCCTTTCAGCCTTAAAAAATGTTTATGTTAAACATGAACAGGCAGAATACAGATTAAAAATCATTCCAAGCTGTTACCTCATGCATCATAACACTTATAGCTCCAAAACAAGCTCAGCACACATCCAGTACGTTTTGTTTCCATCAATTGTTATTATATCCAAAGGCTTTTCCTCTTGAAAGGCTTTTGGGAAACATTTTTATCTATGATCATGTACATTAATTAAATAATGCTTTGACTTTCCAGAGGAAATTCATTTGCTTTTCAAGGGAAAAAGAACAAAAATTTCTGAAATCCATTTTCACTGAGCTTGTGTGTAATTGTAGTAATAGAATTTGTAGAAGATCTTCCATCTTCTTTGTGAAAGATTAAAATTGCTTGGCTTTCAGCAAATACCATTCTCCAAATTCCCTGTGTTTAGCAGAGAGGACTGCTGAGTAAGGAGACACATCTAATTCAATTTGAAGTAATGGGAGCGCTGGCTCTGCCACAGCGTCTGCCTTCCCAGTGGGGCGGATGAGGCTCAGGGCTGGCGTCACACTGAAGTCATTCAGAGGCTTCTCTTGCCCTTGCAGGTGGAGCGGGAGAAGGCCATCCTCCTAGCCAGTCTGCAGGAGTCGCAGACGCAACTGGAGCACACCAAGGGGGCGCTGACGGAGCAGCACGAGCGGGTGCACCGGCTCACGGAGCACGTCAACGCCATGAGGGGCCTGCAGAGCGGCAAGGAGCTGCGGGCCGAGCTGGACGGCGAGAAGGGCCGGGACTCCAGGGAGGAGGCCCACGACTACGAGGTGGACATCAACGGCCTGGAGATCCTGGAGTGCAAGTACAGGGTGGCCGTCACCGAGGTGATTGACTTGAAAGCAGAAATTAAGGCCCTGAAGGAGAAATACAACAAATCTGTAGAAAACTACACGGAAGACAAGGCCAAGTACGAGAGCAAGATCCAGATGTACGACGAGCAGGTGACAAGCCTGGAAAGGACCACCAAGGAGAGCAGCGAGAAGGTGGCCCACATGGAGAAGGAGCTGCAGAAGATGACCAGCGTCGCCAACGAGAACCACAACACCCTCAACACGGCCCAGGACGAGCTGGTGACCTTCAGCGAGGAGCTGGCCCAGCTCTACCACCACGTGTGTCTGTGCAATAACGAGACGCCCAACAGGGTCATGCTGGACTACTACCGGCAGAGCAGGGTCACCCGCAGCGGCAGCCTGAAGGGGCCCGACGACCCTCGGGGACTGTTGTCTCCACGACTCGCCAGGCGGGGTGTGTCGTCGCCAGTGGAAACAAGGACCTCATCTGAACCAGTTTCAAAAGAAAACACGGAGGCCAGCAAAGAACCAAGCCCGACGAAGACGCCCACAATCTCTCCTGTTATTACTGCCCCGCCATCTTCTCCGGTGTTGGATACAAGTGATATCCGCAAAGAGCCAATGAATATCTACAACCTTAATGCCATTATCCGGGACCAAATCAAACACCTGCAGAAAGCAGTGGACCGGTCTGTGCAACTCTCTCGGCAAAGGGCGGCGGCCCGGGAGTTGGCCCCCATGGTGGACAAGGACAAGGAGGCCTTGATGGAAGAGATCCTGAAGCTCAAGTCGCTGCTGAGCACCAAGCGGGAACAGATTGCCACGCTGAGGGCGGTGCTAAAAGCCAACAAGCAGGTAATCTCCTGGGGAAGCAAGCTGGGGGAAGTCGGGTGAGGGGGCCGGGGGGGAGGCAGTGGAGAGGGCAGCTGATTCTGCAGTGCCACTGAGTGCTCAGTAGCACCAAGATAAGAGTTGAGGATTCCTGGTCAGTAGACAACTAAAACTGGGTGCGTCCTAGTGCCACAACGGAGTGGAAGGTTATTTTTAGGGGAGTGGATGGGTGGTGGCTGTGCCTGGATGGGTGGCAGAACACAGGAGACCAGGGGAGCAGAGCTGGCTGCAGCTGTGGGATGGCAGTGCTGGCCGTGCCAAGCAGGGTGAGGGAGATGCAGCACTCAGTGACACATATTGGAGAAGTGTTCTAAACATATCCCAGTGTTAAGACAAGCAGCAGGCATCAGATACCTCCTCGCAAATGCAAACATCGGCCAGTAGCTTAGGCAAGCTTTCCCTCTTGAGACAGGGTCTTGATAATGTATCCCAAGCTGACCTCGAACTTAGGATCCTCCTGCCTCGGTCTCCTGAGTGGAGCGTATTCTCGAAACAGTGAATTCTGTGTTGAGCGTCTTCTCCTTCTGTCCTGATCTGGGGGAAAACCACACTAATATTAAGTCACATACCTTCCTGGTCTTCATTTTCCTTTCCCATAAGCCCTTTGAGGTTCGCTCATGTCTGTACCATAAGCAACAATAAGGCTTGCGTTGTGAAGATGCTTTTGAGACTCAAGAGCAGGATAGGACTTTGGTGCTGCTGCTTTAGGAAAACAGAGGAGAATGGGAGAACAAAGAATAAGGTACTAGGGCTGGTGAGCTGGCTCAGTGGTCTAAAGCACCTACTTAGATCAAG